TGGCACACAGCAGATGCTCAATAAATAGTAGTTGAATGAATGAATTGTGGAACAGTAACATTATCTATGAATACCGACAAGATCTGTGGGAGAATGAGTAAGGAAGAAAGCTTTTATTTTAGGGTAATGAAATTATGAATGGTATTCTTCAGTGGAATTAGAATCACCCCCTTGATTACACGGTTCCTAAGGCAGTATGCAAGTACAACAAAAGGCCAGAATGAAAGCTGGCCTTGAATCTCATGGAGAGGTTCTTTTCCAAAAGGCAGTGAGCATGTAGTATGCGGTGCCAGGTACACAGTGAGGGCACAAAGTCAAAGATAACAATAACCTTTCTAAGCTCGCCAGACAGGGATAACTCTAGCACTAGCAGCTCTTAGGCAATTCTCAATGTCACTCTGGACATTTCTCATCTCCCTTTAAAAAATACATTTACACACCAGTAAAACACTTACCAGACTTCCAGACTAAAAAGCATGGTGAAGTATGTCAACACATCCACTAACAACCAACTATTTGAAACACAGGAATTTAATCTAGATTCTAGTGAGATAGAGGCACGCAAAGAAACCTGACATCAGATCATAAAAATAGAAATAAGACGGCCGCTCAGCACACAAACATTCAGTGTTACTGGGCCCAGCTTAAAGACACTTGCCCATGAGTAGTAACATGAAAACAACCATTACTTGGTTAATTAGTGAATGTATAAATAACAGTAAAATGTTCTTACATTCAGCTATACCCAGATACAAGAAAGTTAATTTAATAAATACAATTAATCTTTTCCAGATATTATCTAAGAACTCAATGCTACTTGAGAGAAAGGATAAATATAAGGTAATTCACCCACAAAAGGGAAAAATGACCCAGAGAAGAACTTGGAGAGATTTTCCAGCCACAATTTGCTGAATAGCAAGCACTAGATCTTAAGGCAAATTCAAGCGAGAGGGTGGCAGAACAGTCTTCTGGGGAACATTCTCCCAGCTCTACTGCAGTTAATACAGCAATTTGTGAGGCAAGAACTATAGTAAAAACACTCACAATAATCAGTTTATATCTCTAACCCTATTTGAGGAAAACCAGGCTTGAGAAAAGTGAGCAGCACAGTTCAGCAATGAAGTTTAAAAAAATCTAATTCTTTCCTTCAACAGTAAAGACACTTTAGGTGGCATTCATGATCTATTTCATTCCTTTTTACCTATACATCTCAGTCTCCACTCTAGCCCAGAAGGTAACTTCCCGCCCCCATGCCTAACTGACCAGTGGAATTCTATCACTCCCACTCCTGTCACATCCCATCTTGAGGTTCTCTTATCAACACAAAGTTCAGAGAGCTCACGGCAGCTCCACGGACCAGGTCCAGTCCAAAATGGACTCTTTCTTCTCCTTTCTGAAGCCTGGGCGGGGCTCTGAGCAGCAACATCCCACCTTTCCTGCCCACAGCCCTAACAAGCTGCTGAGAGAAGGAGCACACTACTCGGCAGGCACCTCCAGCCCATCATCACCAGTCAAAGCCAGCCCAGGCTCTGTCTGAGGCTGGACCATGGCTGAGCCCCTTCTTGAGAAGCCTGACAGCAAATGCCCCCTGAGATTCAGGGAAGAAGTACCAACAGGATTTGCTGAATGACAAAACTCTTCTAAGTTAATTATACCACATTTTGTAATGAAAAGGGCCTGTTATTACTAGAGAAGGCCTCCCGTACCTACCGTAGCAATACTTTCTTGTGTAAGTTTCATATAAAGAACAGCATGTAAAAAAGGTAACTTTGCTCATTTTTTAAAGACTCGAATATCACAAAAATATTCGTCAGAGATTGCCCCCTCTTACAACGCAATCCACCTCATTTGGCAATCATTTCATCTTTCACAACTATTTCATTTGTGTAGGATGATAGCTCATTCTCTAAACAAGGCTTCTGTTTTGCCATTATTTGAATATCAGCAGTTCTCCCTCTACCCCATAACAGGTAAGCATTTTCTCCTTTGTCTATCCTCAGCCCTGAATTTAATTTTTCTGGGCACTTTCTTTTCTCAATTAATGATCTTACTCAAGGACTGGTCACAGAATATGTATAGGAAGTTACCCTCTGATAGTAAGAGCCCTCAATAAACCAAAAGCCCAGTGTCCCAGACAGCTGGGAATTTTCTGCCTAAGAGACTTGAAACCCCAAAAGGTAACAAAAGGTTTAACTTTATGTTAGTCTATGGCTCACCCATAGGCAACTGCCAGAACACAACAGAATGAATAACACAGATCAGTGGCTAACTGATGCCACTTCTCAAACTCAGCTTTTGCTCATGGAGAGCTAGCTGTTCATGAGGCTCTAATTTGAAACTACATACACATCACATTTCCTATTAGCCAAATAACACCTAAATCGTATGAAAGAAATATCTCAATAAGTCACGAGTGTGCCAACAGCACGTGATCGGTGAGGGAAAGTAGTGACCTGGGTGAGGACGATTACTGAGCTCCTTTCTCACAGACACATGCAATAGGAGTGAGAGTAGCCAAAGCACCTGTGAACACCATTCTGTAAACTCAACACTTCAACTACTTCCTCTTATCTCAAAAAAATTTCAAATACAAAAGTAAAACCAATGCTAGGTTTTAGCCAGCCTGAAAGAGGAAGACTGTGTGGGATTCCTTCCTCCTGTACTCTTGACCAAGCCGTTTCTGCCTGTCATCCTTGGTCAGATTCCTGAACCACTCAGAATACCACGGAGCCCCCTTACATGCAGCCAAGCCGCCAGAAGAGCCAGGACCTCAGCTGCCCAGGCCTAGAATGGAAATGGTGTTAACACACTCCTCAGTGAGGGAGGGGAAAAAAAATCCAGCTTCCTTTTCTACCATCATCTAGAATTTCACGGATTATCTTCCTCTCTGCTTTATTTTCCCTTTAACCCTTTCTTGGGGCTTCAACTTTCTTCTTCCTCTCTTTGTTCCTTCATCTCTGTTCCCAGTTCTTTTGGTCCTATGTTTCCTGATCTTGCAGGCGAGAATAATGCCCTTTTACAACAGTAGAGGATGGATAGCATGGACTAGGGAATCGAGCTCATACCAATAAAGCCAGCAACGTCATCAACAGTCAACAAAATCCACAGTGCCCCCAAATCATTCAATGCCTGCTGTGGATGAACACTGTGATAGGAATGATGGGAGAGACAAGATAAAAAGTAGTTTCTGCCCTCTGTGAAGTGATAATCAGTGAAGAGAACATACAAAAATACGTGAAAACGTAAAAACGACATCAAGCAGTCAGAAGATTGCACTATATGAGTTAATAAACTTGGGTTGCAACATCTGGGCCCTGGGACCAAAACAGGAGCCAACCACTGTGGTCCAGAAGGGTGCGAGGAGGCTCACTCAGGGAGGGCGCAGGGTAGGCCGAGAGAGCCGTGAGCGCACCAGAGAGCAGGGGGGGGCCTCCCTAGGCCACAGTAAGACAGCCGAATAAAAAGGAAAGGAGTAAAACGGCCTACTTTATGGATTTCATTACAATTTAAAAAAAAGAAGGAAAGGGCCTGTGCCCCTCAGCCGTCTCTGGCAGTGAGAAAGTCGGCACCGGGTCTTAGCAAACTGAGAGTTCCCATACATAGGTGGAAACATCCTGATGAACTCTGCCAACTGATACTGTCCAGAACTACATACCGGACAATTCCTTCTCTAATTTTATATACCAACACCATGTAAAATATGGTTAAAGAAAAAGAAACTAGTTGACCAGAGAGGGAGAGGTGGGAATGACGACGAAGGAAGAGATCTGAGATCACTTCTACCAGGGAAATGCCCCAGCAACTCTGCTATTGTTATGAGCAGAAATCCCAAACCCCGAGGTTCCAATGGGTCTTCATTCTTCAAGTTTTCTGCTGAGCGCGAGAGGAAACCTGCCCATTTCTAGAAGTGAGTTGCACAAAATCTTTAGCTTTCAGCTTCTAGCTAGCTGCTAATAAAGCCCTGAGTATCCAAATCCAAGGTATTAGTTAACATTTGCTGATCACCTGGGAAAAAAAAAATTCCTGGACTAGTAGGATAAGGGAACTTTTACAGTATAGCACACGTTCGTTATTTCCATTTCAATACCAACATGAAAATTATTTGGTTGTCATGCCAATGTGCTCTTGATCTTCAGTTTTAGCGAACAACAAAATCCATGCAACAGCTCCTGAAAGGAAGGTCAGTGAAAACCGTAAAGTAGGAGAAACGTTCCCACTTTCACACAATGGTCCACATGAGAGGAGAAACATGCTGGGACACTGCCTGAACAACTATAATACTATTCACAGTAAATGGTGTTTTACTCTGTTCGATATTATGTAATACAAAATGTCCATTGTGAGGATAATACCTGGCCTAAGGTGCAAGACACTGAAAACTATGCTAGTTTAAGTCTTAAAAATAAGCCACTTGCTAGAATAATCAATTCTGTTACTTACTTACAATTTCAATTTCACACCCCCTCAAATCAATGAAATACAAGCTATGAGAACTTTATTCTTGGTTACTGCTAAAATCTCTTTCAACATCGGACAGTAGTCTTCAGTATATGAAACAAATGAACTCATTAGCCTAGAAGCACCAATTATTCACAGCAAACCGGGAGATCTAGGAGCTTCTCTTAAGAGATTTATCAGTCGCCCACACACTGTTGGGTGATTCTGATGCTTATCCTATGTTACCTCATAAAATTTCATAAGACTTTCTGAAACAACTGTTAATCTACACAGCTCTGCTTCTGCGTATTTCTCATCTACTTCCCCTGAATCCACTCCACCCTGCCTTTCTAATTCCTAGTAGTATGAGAAGCTGAGGTCCTCTGATATGCACCTAGTAGAAGACAAAGCAAATACTTCAGATGTGTCCAGAGGATGTAACACATAATTCAGTTTGGCTTCAAGCTACAGGCCATTTAACCAGTCCTGAGGAGACTTTAGCAACAGCTCATATTTAGATTTAATTTCAGGGATTACACTTGGGAGTTGACAAAACTGCTCACCTTTAGGACAGAAGCTAAGCTGGTCATGTGCTCATTGAGGGCACCCTCGGACTCTTTGTAGGTCAAGCAGGTGAACTGGTATTCCTCAGGATCGAAGGAGTCGGCCCCCTGCTGCTCCACATCGCTGGCCACTCCCACGTAATAGTCCTCTATGTCACCAGGGTCCTCGTCCTCTTCCTCCTCCTCACAATTTGGGTCATAGTCCTCTTCATTGCTGTCAGACCCCTGGCTATTCATGTCCACAGACATCTTAACATCCAGTCAAGTTGCAGATCAGGAAAGCAGTTTTTTTCCCTCCCCCCAAACTTCACCACTTTTTCAAACTCATTAGTGTTTTTGTCTTCTAAGGGAGGAAAAGAAAAAAATATGTGTTAGCTACTTTCACTGTGAAAAGCTGTAACAGAAACCATTCAAGAACCAAAATGGCACAGCCCTGGTCCTACCCCTACTATGGCCTATTACAACTCTCCTCTCATCCAGGAAATCTCACCATCATCTACCTGCCTAGGCTTTTCAAAAGGAAACCCTTTCCTGGAGGGGCAGAAGCAGTTAACAATGGTAACTTCACATGAAGGGTCTGGCATGAAAGAGTAAGGCTGTCTGCTCCATGTCAAGAAGTAAAATTCCCATAGAGTTGTCCTTCCTGCTAGGGTCCCTAAGAGAGAAGCACGATCCCACAGCTGATTACCCAAAGCAGAAGTATCCTAAAGGCTGAGGAGCCAATATTCAAATTTTCTCAGCCAATAGTGCCCTACTGAATGGTGACACAGAACAGTTCCATCCCGCTACAATTTCTGGGGAAATAAACCAGTGTTTTACAGACATCGCTCTCAGATATGTGGGGAAAAAAGGTGCATGGTAAAGAAAAAATAAAAACCACACAGCTGTCAACATCAACATCCCCCTCGTGTCTGCAAAGGTAACTGATTTTTCCACTTTAAAGGGTTCTATTAATCCTCTAAAAGAGGTACTTAGAAGCAAAGAAACTAACCCAATAGTGAAGGAAAACTACAGATATACTAGTTTGGCAGGATCGAGCCTAGGAAAAAACAGAATCTACCTAGGGTAAAGAAACAAGATCAAACGGCAACAGCTACTGAAAAATCCTCATATATCAAAATGTGACTCCATGACATATAAATGAAAAGAGAATACTAGTTGAAAAAGTAAAACAGTCACATATCTTAACTCTTGGAGACGATTTTGGCAAATACCCATTAACTTCTCCACACAAGAACTATTTCAAGTGACCGTTTCCAAAGAACAGTATCAAACAGTGATTTAAATCTAAAACGAAGAGGACTTTAAAATACAAGAGCATGTGGACTGAATGGAATGAAATAATTTATATAACCTAATCTGGATTAAACACTAAAGTAAATTTAAAACCTATTTCAAGTAGATAATCTCTCCAAAAAATTAATAATGAGAAAAAGATTAAAATGAATGTCTACTGAATATGTAACCAGTCTAAAGGACTAGAGTCACATTTTAATGATATTATAAAAATATCAGTGAATCTACCTCTGATATTTTACCTATAAATGCTTAAATTAAAAAAAAAGTCACACTAATGAGAGGGCAGTTTGACTTTTAACAAATTGTGTTATATGCTAGAACCACCTAATCACAACTGAACTGAACCCAATCTTTAAATTAAAAATACCTGTAATTCTTGAAGATCTTGCAGGAAGATGTCACCTAAATAGTCATTCATATAATTTCATTCATATAATTTCCATCTAAAATGAAAAAAGATAATTCTATTTACATACTGTAAAATTGGTACCCCACATTCACAAATTTTAAAAATAAAGACATTTAAAAGAACAAGCAGCAAAGGACCAGAAATTATTTTCTTATAAGTCCCATAGAAATCCACTTCACAATTATATTGACATGAGTTACATGGCCTTCTAAAAAAAGAAAGTATTTAAAGTAAACAGCTAATAATAATTTAACCCCGGGTACCCAGTTCCCTCTCATTCGTTCCCTCAGTTTGAAAGTCCACCACTTCACTTCTTTTTCTTTAATTTTTATTGGTGTATAGTTGATTTACAGTGCTGTGTACCACCTCGCTCATATTGTTCAGATTTCCTAAATTAACTACTACAATTTCAATCTTAAATATTACATAGAGATTGACAAAGCAAATTTTAACTGACCTGAACTGGGCTTTTACCATAAAGTCATCTCCATTGTTGTACTCAACACTTATAGAATACTGTCAGTATTTCAGCTCTCACTTTATTCATGAAAAGTTATTTTCAAATAAAAAAAGTCCACAAGAGAAATAAAACAAAAATTAAAAAACAAAAACAGGGGGAGGGTGCAATTTCCTAGTGGTCTAGTGGTTAGGGCTTAAAAAAAGAAAAAACAAATGTTCCCAGTACAATGCTCACTAGGCAATATTAACACCCATTTTGTACCTCTCTTCTGACATGCTCAAGGTCTACTTGACTTTCTCAGAGCTACAGATCCCACTATCAAAGACTAAGTAAGTACCATTCACTTACTTAATCAGAAATTTTAGGTCCATGTTTTTATCCTTTTAAATTTCTTGGAAAACCAGCGATAACTTTCAAAGAAATAGTTCTAACACAGACAGGCAAATATAAACTAAATGAAAATCAAAGTCCAAACAATGATTGTGGAAGATGATTTCCAAAATAGTAAAGGAACAATTGATTTCTTGTCTGTTTTCTTTTATCTGCATTTTTACATAAGATACTGCTTATTAGGCAAATAAGCATAAATAGCATTACAAATACTGCTCCCATCTATAAAATAATCACTACCTAGAACAGCTTTCATTTAATGAGAGCCAATTTCAGGTCAGACTCATTCTCATTAGATGTTTATAACCCTACTAAGTGGCGATCATCCTCTTCTTACAAATGAGCAAACTAGAGTTCAAAAAGATTAAGCAACTTGCCCAGGACCACGGTGCTGACAAACAGTAGAATCCAGCATCATACTTTTCACCAGATCTGTGATCTATGAGGACTCACAATGCCCCATTCATCCTCCCAAAGAGCCGAATACTATCCAAAGCTACCTACAACCACAACAAAAAAAGCACAGTTTTCACTTTCTCAGGATTTCTTGCCAGGATTGGGGCTTCTCACCAGCTAAATATTCAAGAAGCAGGGGAAAACTCCAGGCTCCCTTCCAAAAAGGGGGAAATCATTTCATACTTACTGGGTGCTCTAGGTCCAGATTTAAATAAAATCTTAATTACTAATCTTTTCAAAGTTAAATATCCCTATTCTGTTTAAGAGTGCTGACACTGTTTAAAGGGGCCAGTATGTTATTGCTTCATTAACACAACAGATGATAGATAACGCTTTGATTTATTTCAGATGTTAAACATTAGCCTCACGTCCCAAACAGGCAAGGAGTAACAGAAATTACTGCGCTCCCCTCCCCGCCACCTCGCGCCCCCCACTCCGCATCAAAGTCTCGTGTTCATAAGAGCTGCCAACCACCCGGGGCTAAGGAATTCAAATGGAAGACTTCTCAGTATAAAGCTGACAAGAACAAGACAACAGACTTTTTGGTATCAACGTTTACTCCAGATATATTTAGCACTGAAGCTCCATTTACTAAATTCACATTTCCGAAGAAAACTAGTTGGTACAAAAATATGAACCCTGTCTGATGGGGTAGCCACTAACCACATGTGGTCATTTACATTTAACTCAAAGATTGAATAAAACTTGACACTTGGATTTTCAGTCGCACTAGCCGTAAGTCAAATGCTCAATGGCCACGTGTAGCAGCTAGTGGCTATCCTGCTGCATAGCAAAGGTACAGAATAGGACCAGTGTGGCAGAAAGTTCTATGGGACAGGGTAACAATCAGTACTGAGGTGAAGTCATCCTGAGAACCCGATCGCCTCTCCGGCGGCTACCACAAGCGGCGTCCGGTGCGGCGCGACGCAGTTCCAAGGCCGCCTGTCCCAACCTCAGGCGCCGGGATATATCCTCGAGGACAGGAGCCCACGCGCTGGGCCCCCTCACCAGCAGGCGTTAACTAACCACGCGGGGAGCGGAGCACTGCGAGAGCTCCCGAAGATGACCCGAGTGGCGAGCCCCCGGAGGCGCCGCGTTTCCCCGGCACGCCGGGCGGGGAGGGCCTAGATGCGCCCGGCGCCAGTCGGTCAGAGGCGCTGGCCTGCGACCTCTCGGCGAACTGCAGGCGGAGGGAGGCGGAAAGACCGAGAGACATCAGGCGCCGGTCCGCCCTGGCCTCGGCCACCGGCAGCTCATCAGCAGGATGGCGGAGGGCCCAGAGACCCAGTACGAGATGCCGGGGGCGCCGGGACCTCGCGGGCAGCGACGAAGGCGGAGCCGCGGCCGGGCTAGGGAGGCGCGCGGAGAGCCCACCCCCTCCCCCGGCCCGCCGGGGTAAACAAGGCCGCTACTCGCGCCGCGCACTTACCGGGAGCCGCGGCCCCGCGGCCGCTGAACCCGGGCGGGCCAGACCGGGTCGGGCCAGGCCAGAAGAACCGGACCCAGGCGCGGCGGCGGCGGAGGCGGCGGGCCAACGCCGGTCAAGGCCCGCGCTGCTTCCTCCGGCGGAGCCGTCGCCGCAGCTCCGGAAGTGCTTGGAGCGGTTGCGTCACTTCCCTCCCGGGGTCGCCCCGCGGTCGCCGGGGTCGCGACAGGCGCTGGGTAATAACGCCTCTCTGCGGACGCTTCACTCCAGCCCAGCGCAGCGACTGGATTACGCCCGCCGCACGGCTAGCGCCGACGGCTAGCAGCGGAGAGGCTTCTTGGAGAGCGGTCACGGCATCGCTGCGGGCTTTCGCCTACCAGCGCCGCCGGCCCGGATCATTTCAACCATGGTTTTTGTTGTTTTTTTTACGGACTCTTCTCAATTCACTGTACTCGGTGTCCGGCGCGAAGACCTCCAGTCGTTCGTGGAGTGGATAAAGGACTCATGTTTCACGGCCGCTGTTTGGTCGAAGGAGAGCTGGGTCTTGGTGTCAGCAAGCCGGGCCGGGAATTTCTGCCTAGGTCGATTCGTAGAACCATGCCACGCTTCCGCTTCCCTTTCCGCGGCCTAGTCCGCTGCCTAATTTCTTTGGCTTCCCAGTCACCCGAGATTGAATCTTAACTACCTTGCTGCACAGTTTATTCACACAGTATAGGAAGTGCGGTTATGACTTTCCGTACCTTCTGGGTCAAGTGTTATGGATAGAGACATGAAGCCTTACTTAAGTTGCTGCTGCACAACGTGGAAAT